GGTCTGCTGAGATCTTTCACATCCTGCCTGGACATGCCAGGGGTGCCACCAGGACATACCCTCCACCTTGGCTCCAAATCTGAAAAGAATACCCCCGGGGCCAGGAGCAGTTGCACGGTATGCGCCCACGCGTTCCAAACACAGAATTATTCAGCAGGGGCAGCTCACGCAGTGTCCGGATCAGCGCCCTGATCAGCGCCCCGCCTGCAGAGCCCCCACTGCTGGCCGCCTTCCAAGGGCTCGGTGGAGCTGAGCAGTCCGCATGTGGCCACAGGATGTGCTATTCTGGCCAGCCTCCTTCCGGTGAGACTACCACATCCTGGACGCCTTTCTAGCAGCATGTTCCTAAACGGGGATGCACCAGCCTTCCCGTGGGCTATTTAAAGTCGAGCCCTCCCTTCACATCAAAAGGTCCGGCTCCATCCTTGGGCACTTGGGGAGCAGCAGCCTGGCTGTCTTAGGAGCCTATAATTTCACCGCAGTGTAGCTGTGTGGCTTGGGCAGGTTCCTTAAGCTCTCTGAGCCCTTGTTTCTTCCTCTATAAAATGGGGATAATATAGCTATCTTACAGATTAGGTGAAAGTTACAAATGAAGGCAGAACCTGGCCCGGCATTGGAGCTTATCAAATATAAGTTATTATGATTATACTGTGACCAATAAACACATTTGGAAAGATTAGTTGTTGCTCAGAAATTCCATAGTAACCTAATAGAAAGAATATGCAATTTCGACCTCGCCAAACGGCAGTTACCTACACCGCGCACAGAGCCTGTTTCTGCCCCGCTGAGCAGCACAGACAAAAATAGCCTGCGCAACACCACACTGTCTGACTTCAGAGCCCACATCCAGGTAAAGTCACGCAGGGAGCTGGAAGAGAAGATCCGTCCTGGCTCTCAGTCTACGATCTTTCCCCAGGCCAGCAACAAGATTCCAACCTACCCTGATTCTTCCTTCCATACGAAGCCTGGAAAATTACAAAGGTGTGAAGAAACCAGAAAATGCAATCTCAGTGCACTTGCCACACAGCCAACCAAACCTCCGAAATCAATGTACCAACAAGTGGGAATTTTTGATGGTCTAGTAAGAACTGGATTTATTTCAGGTAGGAAGACTTTGCTAAAGAAATGAACAGAGCAAAAACAACTGTAAGAAGAATATTTAAATAGAAAGCAAACCATTTTCAAACACAGCATTTCCCAAATAGAGCTCACTATGTCTCAGTTTTGTTAAAAAAAAAAAAAAGTTCTGTACTCAGATCATCATAATTTGGAGTATACATGTGTTTGCAGGAGAGTCATGTGCACATTAGCATATTAAAAGCTCTGAGAAGTTTTGTAAGGAAGAATCCATTAGCTTTGTTTTAATTCAAGGATTCCAAAACTTTCCGAGTGTGGAGTATTGTTTTAAAGCACATTTAGTAACCCTACAAAATTGCAATTTGGGAGACCAGGTTTGTTTTCAAATCTGGTGAAGGTACAAATGAAGAATCTGTAACCACAGTTGACTCAGGGTCAGGAATGGAAGATTTCTTTACAAACCTATTGCTTTCCCTTATAAAAATGTAACATATTGGGGCCGGCCCCATGGCCTGGTGGTTATGTTCAGCGCACTCCACTTTGGTGGCCCAGGTTCGCAGGTACAGATCCCAGGTGCAGACCTACACCACTCATCAGCTGTGTTGTGGCAGCGACCCACATACAAAATAGAGGAAGATTGTCACAGATGTTAGCTCAGGGCTAATCTTCCTCAAGCAAAAAAAAAAAAAAAGTAAAATACTATTTTTACAAGTCTCTGATCTTATAGCCTGCTTATTTAAAAAGCTTCCATGAGCCCCACCCCTCACCCCAGGCGACACTCAGCATCTCCTAAATGCTCAGACTCGACAGGTTCAGTCCAGCTTCAGCTCTCTCCCTGAGAATCTCTTGGAATCAGGGAGCTCTGGTGCCTTGTGATGTCTCCAGGTTTTGCCACGTTTAGCCAGGGCCCCTGAGAACTCGGTTCTGCGGGTGGGGAACACACTTACCTCATGGTCAATTTTGATAAGTGCAATGTCCGCCTTCTCATCCACATCCTTGATTTTGGCTTCGTAGGTGGCACCACTCTTCAGCTCCACTTTGACCCGGTGCTTGTTGGTCACCACATGGGCGTTTGTCACAATGAGTCCATCTTCGGACACGATAAAGCCAGACCCACTGGCCACGGGCACCTCCCTCTTAGAAAAAGGAAGCCTAGAACAGAACCCAAAGGAGGACCTCGTTCAGCCTGAAACACCTTAAAATCACCTCTTCAACACATCAATGGATTGGTTCTGCAAAAGCAACACACGTCTAGCAATTGTTACTTTACACACTGGGTTTATTTAACATTAAGAAATGGAACATAATGCTGACTTTTACATGCATTAAAAAATTCCACTTAGAAAATATTCTTAGGGAATCTCTTCAGAGCCAGAGGCTCTTAAAACATCTAGAGGGGTCAAGAACGCAAATTTAAATAGTCAAACGGGAAAACATGGTTAGGGAAAAACGATATCATCCTGTAAGAATATATTCAGTGACACTTTGACAATTTCGAGTGTCTCAAAAATAGCTCGGATGTCTTGCTAATGGCATCATTTATTGGTAGAAGCTTCAGAGGTTGTAAGAAAAAAGAAGGCCCTCTTTACTTGCGAAACAATTCAATGTGAACCACGGCAGGCGCGATCTTCTCCACCACATCGGCGATAAAGTTGTATTTATGGCGCAAACTGTTGGGATCTTCCTGCCCTGAGAACAAAAGCAAAGACAAGACACATAATGATACTGTGCTTTGTGCTGTGGCCACCTGGAGAGGGACATAGGTGAGAAGGCACCAAGGTACACACTGAGAGGTCTTTGGAAACCGGGAGAGGGGTGAGGACAAGACCACAGACCTGCAAAAACCCTTCCCACTCTCAAGGAAATACCCACTCAGATAAGAGAGCAAAAACCATCAAACATGACCCCTTTACTCAGCGTCTTTCCTCTCAATAGTTTCACCGTGAAAATGTTGAGCAAGAGACACTCACAAATACCTGGACGACCTACCAGCTATTCTAAAAGGTTGGTCGCCCAAGGGTCACCTTGACATGGCATCATCCTCCACCAGTGTCCCTTCCCCGAATCCCACAGCACCACAAAGAAGCAACCCTTCTCAGCAAACCACCATCAAGGGGGGCTGAGGTTGTTTTTGACAAGATGCCCATCAGACATTATAGATTTAAAAGACTATTATGAAAAAGCATTAAGGCAAAGATGCAGATCCTCTTTCCCACTGATGCCACAAGGCCAGCAGAAGCCACTGTCTGTCCCCAGAGCAGTTTTCCACCACACCTTAACCATTCATTCCAGCCCCCGGGACGTCCCAGGCAGAAAGGCACAAGAGGTACCTTGATACTATTGGGAAAAAAGAGAGAGAAAGTCGAATGACCATAATTTTCTATATAAACATACACACTATAACTAGCAAACCCCCATATGGCGGGCGTTTTCAAAGCTCCTTTCAGACGAAGCTGTCATGCATCCCAGTGTAGAGCTCCCAGCAAGGCAAAACATTAGTTTCCACCAACCAGTTGCTCACACCCACGGCATCTGATGCAGAGCACTCATTCTGCTGGCACGTCGGTGGCAGAGGCAGTGTGGCCCCAAAAGTGCAACCTGAGCCTGTCACTCTGGCCCCAAATCCGTGCCACCTGCTGAGATTCTTCAACAAGTCTCTCTCTGTTTAAACAGGCTAGTGGGGTTCTAGGCTTGCCTGCAGCTAAGAACGCACACACCCTTCCTTCTCTCTCCTCATCTCCACCTCGGCCCGCCAGTCTAGCTCAGCGCTGCACACAGCATGCTCCAGGGACGACTCAGCCCCTGCAGAAATTGATGGAAGCTTCCAGAAACCTTCATAGCGATGCAACAGAGTAATCTTATGCCTGCTGCATCTAAAAATTTAAAATTAAGATTTGTATTTTGTGTCTTGTTATCGAATTTCGGTAGTAATTCATTTTTAGCATGTTTTACAAAGTATTGATCCATGATGGATAGGAGATAAAAGGAAAAGAAACCTGTTCCTTCGCCACAGATGGTCTAAGAAGCATTGGTCTATCGCCCTCACCTTTCACTCCCCGTCACAGCTCACTCGGCAGGATTTGCAACACAAGCCCTCAGTTTAAAAGGAAACCACTGCCAGCAAAACTGCCCCATATTTACCAAAGGGCTTGTGTGCCCTGCCCCTAATACACACATAAACACACACTCACACAAACATACAAGAGTATGCACACACTCATACACAAACACACATGCTATCACACTCATGAGCATGCACATACACATATATACACATAAACACATACAGACACGCTCATACATACAGACTCCATCTGACCCTCACACAAAGACACACTCACATACACTCTTACACTCACACACATACATACACTCACACACCTACATGCATACACTCCTATGTACACATACGATTACTAGAATCTTGCTACTAAGGAACATTAACTACTTCCTCTTTCTGACTTCCCAAATAGGCATGGGAGAATATGCCCACATCAGGGGTGAAAATGAACATGGGTTTTTCACACACATACACACATGCCTCCCTCTGTGTGGCGGTGCAGCCCTTCCCCAGGTTCTAGGCCCTCCACGAGAGCTGTGACACTTTCAAGTCCTCCATGGCTCTCAGAGCTGCACATCACAGACTCCCCCAGTGGCACCACAGCCTCCTTTCCTCAGATTGTTTCCTCGGTCCCCACCACAGCTGTGTGTCCCCACCAGGGACCTCAGTAACTCAACTCCATACCACTGGGCACAGGGACATCTCGGGGACCAGCCTGCCTCTCAGGCTTTCCTTCTTGGAAACGAGAGGCCATCGATGAACAAAGACCCCTCTCTGTCCTGCCTCCTGGACTCTGAGCTGCGTTACTTCACGGCTGGAATCTGTTCTCTTTTTGCACGGCATGATTTTCTAAGGCACAGAAAACAACCTGCAACTACCAGGCAAGACAAACTAATTCAACAAATTCATGGTAGCATCATTTTATTATTTTTGCTTTCAAAATACTTTCACATGGAACCTTATTTTTATTTTTCCCACCTTCCTGTGGAATAGGAAAATCAGACACTGTTCCCTAAATATAATTACTTATTATATTTAGGGAAACCAAGGCTCACAGATTTTAAATGACTTCTCCAAAGACACTAAATTTTCTTAATAGAGAGTGTAAATTAACAGGAAAATCTGAGCACATCCACAACTTTTCCACTTAATACCACCCCCATACATATCTGCTACCCTCCCAGGTTTCCAAGTAGTTGCAATTAATCGGTGTGTCTCCCTGGGTTCTCCAATGGGAGATATAAATAAGGGGATAGAAACATTCCTTCCCAACACGGAACCTGGAGAACATCACCCAGAGACAGCTGTAAACAAATGCATCTGGGCTTCCTCAGACCAGCTTCCTGGGAAAGGCCAGAAGGAGGTTGAAGTCCAACAAGGCCAACAGCTCCCAGGGAAGCATGGAGTTTCTGAGACCCTCACAAGAAGGAGGATTACTAGAGTCTTCCCCCTAAGTATCATTAACTCACTTCCTCTTTCTGACTTCCCAAATAAGCACGGGGGAATTTGCCCACATCAGGGGTGAAAATGAACACGAGTGTTTCCATGTAAAATAAGAATCAGTCGCTTTCTCACACAAACTAGAGAAAGTGGCTCCAGGGTCTGTCCATGCTGGAAAAGCAACATGAGAGAGCAGGGAGGACACTGGTCTGGTCATGAGAAGGCCCAGGTTCCATACTCAGTCTGCTAGGTGGCCTCCATTTCCCTATCTGTAAAATGGGACCAACTGCCTCTGGAATGAGCTATGAAGTCTATTCCAGCTCCAAAATTCTGTGATCTGATCCCTGTCTCTCCCTCTCACCCCACTGTGCTACAGCAAGAGAAAGAACTTGTGGGATTTGAGGCTGGGCACAGGACTCTCCTAATTCTGCAGAGGAGTAAACAGAAAGGAGGAGCAGTGGGACCACAGACCATACTGAAAGGCCCAACTGACAGGCCCAATTGTGCAGCTCAGATGAAAAAGCAACCAGTGACCTCCATTACCTTCACTTGATGGACCAGTGTCAACAGGAAAATTAAATAGAGCAGAAACAATTGAACATAAGGAACATCAACTAATTGTTCAAAGATGGGCAAAATGTCAAACCAAAGAAGAAGTGTTTGGCTTCTCCAAATGCAATTTCAGAATGAGGAATAACAGTGTCTCTAAGAGCAGCTTGGCTCAGTGTTAAAGTCCTGCTCCACTTAAAAGACTGTTCTTCAAACTAGAGAAAGCTGCTGCTGCCTCAAGGTCTTTAGAAACCCTGGCTGGCCCCATCTGCTCTGACCTCAACTGCAGGTCAACTGTCTTCCTTCCAGAGGGGTCAATCCAGGTGGAGAATTCCCAGAGACGGACCCAGGCTGGCTCTGCCACAACCCACTCTCTGAGCAGCACAGATGGGTGGGATGTCCAGGCTGCCCAGCATGGGGAGAATGGGGAAGAGCACAGGCTTTGGTCTCAGACGGATCAGAGTGTGATACTCGGTGCAGCACTCACTTGCTGTGTGACCTTAGGTATGTCACCTAATTCTTCCAAGTCTTATCCCCTTGTCCATAAGATGTGATGATAACACCTACCTCAATGTGTTTTCAATGCTGATTTTATGACCTACTGTACACGAAGTGCTTGACCAAGTCATGGCATATAGTTTAAAAATAAAAAAACAGAAGAACTGATAAAGGTGCTGCTCAGTAGGTACAGCAGGGAAGTAAAGGGAGAGATGAAGTTGTCCAGAGAACCACTCCCTCCATCTTAGCAAATCTGTGTCAGTCCTGGAGGCTCCTCCTAACAGGGCCATCATGGCCACCACTGCAGAGGCAAAGATCAAAGGGAAGCTGTGTGGCAGGCCGGTTTTTCTGGCTTTGATGTGTCCCTCTGTTCCTCAGCTCAGAGTACCCCACCGCCACTGCAGAAGGGAGATGGGCAGCTGAGTCACGAGAATAATCTAGCCTCAACTGAGGCCCAGCTGCGCTCTCAAACTCCCATGGAGCAACCAACCTGCACCAGAAAAAGACAAACATACTTCCCTCTATGAAGTCAGGGCCTCATTTAGTTGGGCCAGAACTGACATGGCAGAAAGTAATGAGGATGGGAAGCCTCATGCAGGGTCAAGGCCTGGCTCTTCTAACTGCTGCATTATTGTACAGAAAGCTGGAATTGGCTGCCATTCAGTAATGGCCTGCCATTTACAGAAAGCTGGCCATTCGAAATTCAGAAAAGTGAATATAAGGTATTTCCTAACATTCCTGATTAATGAAAAAAGAGAAAAAACAAAAATGACCAATATTGGGAATCAAAAAGGAAGCATCACTACAGATCCTACAGTCATAAAAAGTACAATAAGGGGATGTCATAAACAAATTTATGAAAATAAATTCTACAGCTCAGATGAAATGGACAGGTTTCTTTAAAAGACATAATTTACCAAAGCTCACTCAAGAAGATATAGGTAACCTGAACACTCCTATATCTATTAAAGAAATTATATTTGTACTTAAAAACCGTCCTACAAAGAAAATTTCAGGCCCATATGGCTTCATCTGTGAATTCTATCAAACATTTAAGAAAGAAACAAAAATTAACACTTCACAAACTTTCCCAAAAAAGAGAAGAGGGGAAACACTGCCCAACTTATTTTATGAACTCAGC